TGCCGCTGCGGGCCCACGCGGCGCGATGGGCGGTTGGCCTGGGCCCGCGCGCCGTCGCCCCAGGCGCGGATCGACGCACCGCGTTTCGAGGGGGGGGGGCGCCTTTGACTCGGGAAGTATGGAGGGAAGGACAGGGCGAGGATTGCGCTATTGTGGAGGACGAGGACTTGCAGGAAGAAGGTGAAGGAGGATATCGGCCAGAGGCGGCGGTATGTCAGGCGTGCTCCCAAACGGCGGACAGCGCCGTCCTTCTGTGCCCCTCTCGAGTTGTGTCGCATGGCATTTTGCCCCAACTGGCGACGTCGCCGCGCGGGGGGCCGGGGGGTGCCATGCAGGGGCGCCCGCAAATGCAATTTTGTGCATGGGAATGCATGAGATGAGACACCACACAGACACCGCAAAATGGTCCCGAGATATTGGAATCGCAGTTCATTGGGCCCCCTTCCACAAGGGCCACCAGCAGGGCCCCGATGGCAAATGAGCGGCGCGCGTTTTCCCTGTTCCAAGCGAGGCCTTTTTCGCGAGGAAGTTCCAGCGCGCGCCCGCGGTCTCGGAGTGTGGGTTTGCGGGGTGGGGTGGGGCGGGGGGGGGATCCCAGTTCCCAATGCAGTTTCTCATCGACTTCGTCGAGCTCAGCGAACCCGCGAGCTGCGTTTCAAAGGTATGAGCAATGCTTTCGCCAGTGCGCGTTGGCCATGGCGAGGCAGTCCAGCAGCGTGCATCTGGCCAGTACTATGCCCTTTGCCGCGTTCGCTACCGCGAGGCCGCGGTTGCTCGACCTGCTGGGGAGGGTGGGCAGGTTGTCTTGAAAACCGAGCAGGGGGGGGCTCATTGGCGATCCGTTCGTCGTGAAGTCCTTTGAGCCACGCTTCGCGTGCCGATGTCAGCGTGGAGGCGCGACGTCGGCCAAGTTGACGCGTGCGGCGCAGAGCTCACTGGCCAGCGGGAGACGTTGCAGGCGGATCTCAGCCACCTGAAGTGTGCGAGCGACATTCGCACCACTGTGATGGCCAGTTCATCAGTGAGCTGCGTGAGCGCGGCCGTCTTTTGAACCGCGCGTTGGCTCCCGTGGGCCTTGGGCCGCGCATGGGCGAAGCGGGGGCTTGCGTTTTTCATCGGGGTCCATGCCGTTCGCCTGCGGCAGTCTCCGAGGAGGGGGGAGGTGCGTCTGTCTGGCGGGCTCCGCGCGGGGCCCGGTTCGCTACGTGGGGCCTCGTTCGGTCCTTCGAGACAGCATTCATCGAGAAATAGAGCGTGTAATTGCGGTGGCGTGGGTCTCGTTTCGGTCCTTGGGGGCTGTCTGACAGCTGGGCGTTCCCCGGGAATTCAAACGATTATTATTACATGGGTTTGGGCAAAGTGCTCTCTTGAGCGGACTGGAAGCGTTTGTCTTGGGCGCTCCAGAGTGTTCGGAGCTCGAGGCCAACCTTGCTCGCGCCTGCAGCATCGCCGTGGCTGGCGCGGCCGCGAAGTGGGGGGGGGTCGCAGACGCGCTCGCTTTCGGACGAGACCCTCCTGGAGCATTGGAGGCTATCGAACCCCGTAGTGGATCCGCATCCGACACATCCGACTAGTTCAGAGCTGGGCTGTGCGACTCGCCCATCATTGGCACGTTCCCCGTGCGTTGTTATTCGGCGCCGTATGTTTCGAGCAGGGGGGCTGGCCGCATCGACGGGGCCCCTCTCTCCGTCCGCGTGCCCATGGCCCTTCCAGCTGCGAGGGGATCCTCGCGGGAAGTCTCGGCTGCGCTGGGCCGGGAATAAGCTGGCGCGTCGCGCGTTCCACCAGCCCGTCCGGCGGCGCCTCCAGCGGCGCGGGGGCGGCCCAGTCCGAGTCCCAGGCGTGCCGAGCATGCGGGTAGTTCCAGCACCTCGGCGCAGACGCGGCGCCCAGTTGGCCGTGCCGCCGAGGTGGTCGCAGCTGAGTTCGAGCAGTCTCGCCGTCCCCGCCATTCGGTGGAGGCGGGGTGCCGCGCCGGCGTGGACGTCGCGGAGCTCGAACCTCGCGCGGGCGCCGGCCGCCGCCCCGTGCGTCGCGCGCGGTTGGCCATCGAGGGCACCGTCCAGCGGGGGCGTCGTCGCAAGAGGAGCTCGGCATCATCGTGGGACACATGATTCTCAGAATGTTGATCAGGAGGGGTCTCCTTCTCCCTTTCCAGTGCAGTGCGCGCCCTCGCGGGTCGTGCCAGCCGCCGTCGCCCCCCGCCGCGGCCCGGGGTCCGCCGCGAGCTCGCCTGGGGAAAGAGCCTCATCCATCTTGCTTCTCGTGATCAGGAGCTCTCTAGGTCGGGGCGGGCGCGCACCTTCGACGCCTCTCATTGGGGCGCGGGGTTGGTGCGGCGCCGTCTCGACAAGGGGGGGCTGGCTAAGCTCGGGGGGTGAAGTGAGTGGTGGCGTTTCTCTTCTCGGGCCGAGGTCAAGTTGCGCCCTCGGGCGGGTGTGCGGGCTTTCTTGGGCGGGGTCGGGGGTGCTGGCGCCTCGGGCGGTGGCGGCGAGGCTTG